TACCCGGTATGCCTTATGAGTCTAGGGAGTAGTAGTGATGCCTCGCTTTGGCGTAGCCTATCACTACTCTCAATAGGTCGATAAGTGTTGTTTTGGAATGAAAATTTTACTCAATATTTAGGGACCTAGGGTTTCTATGTTTGTTGATTTAAGTGAACTTAATTAATCATCACAACATTTGAAATTATAAACATGCATCTAACATATAATTCATATATAAATAATCATGAATATGCAAAGCATAAGCATTTTGATGCATATTGGCAACTAGCATGACCCCTTGAATTCTTCAAGTCTTCAAAAGGTCTTCTTTTGCAACTTCATGGCTTTGTCTTTCAAGAACCTCCATCTTCAAGACTTGACCATAATTATGCAATACTAGTATCTACAATTAGGACTAATCTAAATATTAAGGTACAAAAATACTCAACGGTACGCAGACCGTATGTAGATTTACAAAAAAATACATCACAGATCGCAGTCCGTATTTTCTATCCTAATCGGGCCCCACTAGTTGCCATTTTTATAAAACCTGTGAGAGAATATATATTCCATTCATCCATTCACTATATGTGAATGGCCCATGCATTTTACAATGATAAACAAGTAACAATGCATAAAACACACGCCCGCACTAGTAACTAATCTAGGTAGTTATTTCAATTAACACGTCTAATTAAAACTAGTCAAGTTTGTTTAACCGATTATATAATTGGCGTAATTAATATTTGAAGCTCCCACTAAATTCCGCATCCATCTTAATTAATCCAATTAATTAAGCCGGTAAAACCCAATTATTTGCCAAAATAAAATTTTGCAAATGCCGCTCATAAAAATCGAGGCCTAGACTCCAAAATTTATTAAAATAATTAAAACCAAATTAGATTAATAAAATAATTAAAACGGCAAAAATAAGCAAAACTTTACGTAGTCCAAAGTATCCAAGTGCCTAGCACTAAGATTTGGAGTGCTCACAACTCGCACGATCTCATTGCACCACATTGCTTCACAAGCAATGTCTACGCATATTCCTTTTAATGATGTACCAAGCTATGCACAAAAAACAACCCTCAAGTAAGCTCAAATGCAAGCACCCTAGTCAGCTAACCACGGCAAGCCACAAGGCTGCCATGGTGCGCCAAGGGCTGCACATACAACAGCCACCACGCACATGTGCACCATTTCGAGGCGCCTAGCAGCCTCGGCAGCCCCATATGGGTTGTGTGAGCAACCCGGCTGGCCGAGAGCATGCTTGGGGATCTTAGGCCTCGATTTGGTGCTCATGCTTTGGCAAAAATCCCGACTTTGTGTGACATATTTAATCAATTACTAAATTAATTTTAGAATCAATTAATTTTGAGGAAAAATGAAAATTGTAACAAGTCCAACTTAAATAAATTCATCCAAGTGCATAAAACTAAAATTATTCCAAGAACCATTCTTTAATAAAATTGGTTTAACTTGGTGCAACAAAAGTAAGAAGGAAATTACTCACTATTAATTTAATTAATTTAAATTAATCTTGAGTTTTGACAAAATAAAAGGGAGTTGGAAAAATGAACATAAGTTCAATAAAGATTCCAACTTTAATACTTGTGAATCCTTGAAAAATTATATCTTCCAATATGAAGATAAACAAATTTCTATCACAAGTTTCAAACTTTATGATTCCAATCAACTAAAAAACGATTAAATCAACAAAGTTCAACAAAAATTCATGGAATTTAGTAACTCAAAGTTTCAATCACTTAACATAATTAAAGATTGAATCTTTAGTACTTAGAAGCCTCAAAGAACAAAGCTTACTTGAGGGTTGTTTTTAAAGATTGAATCTTTAGTACTTAGTAACTCAAAGATTCATGGAATTAATTTGCAATTATGTGAAAAATAAAACCAAGCTTTCAAGCACAAATTACCACCAAGTAATTATGCCTAAAGAGGTTTAAAATTGCATATAAAATATGTATTGCACCAATTACATAACCACCATAAATATGCAATTAATTTTCAAGGTTAGAAAGACTTAAAATTTATCGTAAAAATAAAAAACCCCTTGAAAATGCATTTCTGGTCGTTTTTTGGCTAAAACGAGACCTAAAAGGAAAAAACCATTTCCAGAACGCCTTTTCCACCAAAAATTCACTATTTTGGGGTCGAAATCTGGGTTCGGGAGCTAAAGTCAGCTCTAATACGAGGTTAAAATGGATAAAACGAGCTACTAATCATATTAGCAACTTATAACCAGAAAAATTAAGCCATAAAAATACCTTGAAAAATATTATGATTTTAAAAATAAACGAGCGAGGATCCGATATCGCTGTTGGGGTTTGGTGTGTCCGACTCACCGCGGAAACAAACCCAAAAACATGTCCGCACTCGCAATAAATAAAACCATCAACATAATTAAGTTAAACACAAGATTAAGATAAAACGATTACCTTTTGGAGCGTGTTTCGCCCAAACGAATGGGCTCTTACTTGAAAGCTTAGCCCCAAAATAAGAGAGCCTCCAACGGAAATCCACCCGCAAGAAAGACTACCGACTTTTAGGTCCGTTGCCTCGAGGTTAGCGAGGCCCGACCACAACCCGAGTATTATATAAGTTTAAGGGTTTTTGCAAATGCAATGCCCTACATATTGAACTCCTACTCAAGCAAAATATTAAACTCACATAGTAACAAGGAACAAGTAACAAGTAACAAGTGTCACACAGTTAGGTGAGGACCACTTTCCCACTTGGTCCCCAATGCAACTCACATGCATTGTGAGCTAACCATGTGTCACCCAACCTTGAGCCCCAAGGTGGGTTCGACTAGGCCACTTTCTTTTGAACTCCTACTCAAGCAAAATATTAAACCAAGGAACAAGTAACAAGTGTCACATAGTTAGGTGAGGACCATTTTCCCACTTGGTCCCCAATGCAACTCACATGCATTGTGAGCTAACCATGTGTCACCCAACCTTGAGCCCCAAGGTGGGTTCGATTGGGCCACTTTCTTTTGGCCCGTGTCCATGACCCGTCACCCGGGTCCACGGCCCTTCTCCACACGTGCCGCCACCGTGGTGCGCTGCCACCATGGTGTGTTGCCACATGGCACGCTGCCACCATGGCGCGCTGCCACATGGCACGCTGCCACTTAGTGGCTGCCAATGTGGCGGCTACCAACGTGGTGCTGCCACGTGGGCTGCCACACGACGTGTTGCCATGTGTGCTGCCACGTGGCACGCTCCCATTTGGTGCACTCTTCTAGCCTTTCGCGTGTCTAGGATTTTACTTGTTACTTGAAGCATTTTCTCGTCTTGCCAAATCCTAAATTTTGGCTCAACATTTGAGATTCTCCGACGCTCGGTTTCGACGCTCCAAGCTCCAATTTCCGACGTCTAAATATTTAATACTCAGGAGACTCATGAATTAATTCGTCGAGTCTGTTCGTTCATTACTTGGGTGTGACCCGAAGGGTTCAGTCAAGATTAAGTTGTAATATTAATTATACATTAATATTACTGATCAAAAGCGGCGTCCACCTAGGCATTTCGATGTCTTGACCTTACTAAATATATTAGCTTTTTAATAATTATGAACCCACTATCAGAATAATACACTTATTCGAAGGACACCATTCCTTTCAGGGACCTCCCTTGATATACACTTTTTTTTTACCGCAAACCTAAAAAATATTGCCTTTTTGTCCCGCAGTTAGTACTTGATCTGATAAATATAAATTCGGATCAAACCCATAGGCATTTATCTAAGTGTTGTATGGACGAGAGTAAAAGGAGGATACTTATGGTTTATGTTAGGATAGGAATGTATAATTGTTTCGTCAAAAAGAATGTACTCCTTCCGTTTTTAAATACTTGCTCCACTTTCCATTTGCGGCCGTTTTTAAATACTTGCTCCATTTCCTTATTTGGAAAGCTTTTACAATATTTAATCAATTTCTCTCACTTAGTGGTCCCAACATATATTCTCTCTCCTCCATTTCTCTCCACTACTTTTGCTTTCTATAATTTTTTTTTCCACCAACCCCACTACCTCCATATTTTTTTACTTTCTCTAATTTCTCCTAAAACTCCGCGCATGGAGAAATGGAGCAAATATTTAAAAACGGAGGGAGTATGATTGTTTCGTATAATTGCCCATATTATGTTGAATAGTAAGTGAAATAGTCTTTGCAGGGTAGGTTGGTGTAAAGCAACATGAAAATCTAGCGTAAAAATAGGATATTGTTTCCTTTTTTTTTATTACTAGTTGAGCCATCGCGCGCCACGAGCGCGATAGCCCAATAACACGGATTGATTGCGGGTAATGATATTGTTAAATAGATGTGTTGTACTAATTTAATTTAGTTTATGTGTGTAAATGCTATGTGCATTTAAAACGGGTATAGATTTGCTGAAGGTAGATTATGGTGCCGGTAGTAAAATGCAAAGAACTTTGTGTTATTTTAAATAAATATGTTAAATACCAGCTTTAGTAATTGATTTTTTAGCTTTAATAATCTTTTAAGGTTTTAAATTTTTTAAAAGTAGCAAATATGGACGTATTGTATGTTTTCATAAATTTGTGGGGTACGGTGTAATAGTAATCTAAAATATTGATTTTTTGTTTTTAAAAATTTATCGGAACAAATTTTTAAATCGAAATTATGACTAACACACGTGTGTATCGATATTGTGTATATAAGGAATGTTACAAACGACAAATTTCTATTTTTAGAATTTTAAATGCACGTACACTTATAGAATATAAGATATAATCATCTAAAGAAGTTGAAAAGTTGTACTTTGTAAGTCATAAGTTCTTTTATTCTTTCTAGATTTTGTCGTGATTGTTGGACTTCCTCTTAGTTGGTTAGTTGAAGTACTTCTTTTGCGTGGTGTATAATTTGTGCCTTGCTTTGCTGTCTTGTCTTTCATTTTCCTGTTTTTTCTTTCTTTTTTTTTTGTTCTATCTTTCTTTTTCTTCTGTGCTTCTGTGCTTGTATATTACAAACAACAATGGGTAGCACAAATAGCATGGCTACTTCGGGGAAGGTCTTTGCACCTCCAATCTGGAGACCAAATGAGGCTAAGTCACAGGAACAGAATGTTGCAAGCTTTTGGCTGTATGTTACTAATATGACAAAGCAGATGAACAGTCATCTGGAATTTTTACAACAAGAAATTTCAAATGGGGAGAGTAAAAGAGAAAAAAAAGAATCAAGCAACAAAAGAAAACAAGGAATTGAGAGGGATGGATGTGGAGAATGGCCTGTTATCATTGTTAAGTTAGACATTGATGAAGCCAAAACAAAAAGTAAGAAAGGTGGTGAGACAAAAGATGGTGGAGAGGAATGTAAGGAAAAATATGAGACCAAGGAAGATGCTGAGAAGGAAGTAGGGGAGCTAGAAGAGGAAGGTGAAGAATCTGAAGAAGAAGATGAATCTGAAGAAGATGACGAGACTGATGAAGATGGTGAAAGTGATATGAATTCTGATTCTGAGACTGAGAGCGAGGAAAAAGTGGCTGTAGACCTAGAGGATGTGTCATTTGAATTTGAGAGCAATGACTACAACAATGATGATGATGGTGATAGTGGTTCGGCCTCTGATTTTGGGAACTGTCAGGATGCAAAGCACAAAACAAGCGAAGACTCTTCTATGTTTTATATGAAAATTTCTGACTAAAAATCGACTGTGGAAATTTAAGTGTGGGAGGTGGTTTTTGTTTGTTTTTGGAAGGTTGTTTTTGGGTACACTCTACAAATTTTAGGATGAATTTAGAGTTTTTAATGGGTTTTTTTTGGGACATTAGGTTATGATATGAAAATATGTAATGGTCAATCTCTTGTAGATATTATTAGTAAGGGAGATAGTAGGTTGTAATGATGTTCAATTATGATGAAAAATGGATCTCATTTCTATATTTTCTCTTGCATTGTTGTTTATGATTGATAATGCTTAGTATTTTACTGTTGTGAATTATGTGTACATATGTGGTAGTATAGTCTCATATGCAATAGGCTAGCAGTATGGTCCATGTTAGACTGTCTTTGTTCTTTAGTAAAACCTTAATTGTCATTTATTTTTGGTATAAAAAATTCTTATTTGAGTCTCATAATTTTTCAAATGGTTTGTGGAAGCTGGTGCTGACTGGTTTCTATGTGAATTGTGTGCTTAATCTTAGATGAACTGATTTGGATTCTATATGCAACATGAAGATACTTGTGGGGCTATTTTTTATATGAGTAAAGGAATGATTAAAAGGTCATATTTAGTGCTAAGAGTAGAAGGTCATGTTTAGATGTGGGGCTATTTCTTATTTAGTGCACGATAAGCTGGATCTTTTTCCTTTTCTTTCATGATAATTATGGCTTTGATTGTTGACTCTATTTCATATTCAATGGCATCTTTCACTGGTGTTGCAGTTTCAGATTCATCATCAGCATTGAGTCTTTTCCTTTTTGATCCAAAATCTCTAGTGGTTGACTAAGCTACTTTCAATGCTGCAGCCATTGATTCTGCCAATAAGCAAGCATCTTCCTCTTCTTGGCTGAAGATTGATAAGTCATAGGCATCAACTATTTCTTTTTTTATGGTCTTGCTTAGGAGCTAGCTATCTTTGGCTGCATATGCATTGCCCTCTTTAGCTTTACCATGTTCTGTATCAGCAGTTGCTTCTGCATTTTTGCCATCAGATTTTGCAGAAACATGTACATAACTTCTTCCTGCAACATTAGCTGTGATGGTGTCTTCCATCTCTACACCTTTTATACCCCATTGTAGCACTTTGTTTTGTTCTAGAGCAGTTTTCGGGCCAATCTTAAGTAAAAAGTATGTGTTTCGCAGCTTATTGGCTATCTGACCAAACTTTGTGGTGTCATCCTAGAGTTTAGATAGATTGATAGTTAGTTTTCGAAGCAAGGATTAAAAGGAATCAAGGGACTACGATTTGTGTTAAACATTTAATGTGAGCTGTGGACTATTTACCATTGCCTTCATGTGATAGATATCTGCAGCTGACATGCCAAGCAGCGGCACATAATTTTTAGTAAATGCAGTAAGCTGCAACGCTCCAGTTCCATCTGAAGCAGTAAAAGTGATAGTTGCTTTGTAAAAATTGAAGAATTAGTGTGAGTTTTCAATTGTTATTAGTGATACATTTTTGCGGCCATTTAATGTAATCCATAAAGTTTTTTTGGTACCTGTAAGTAGCATATACTTCATTTATGTCACAAGTTATGCAACCATAGACTCCTCCTAAAGGCAACTATGTCCGTTTTCCACATTAAGAACATCCTATTTATGTCCTGAGCTTGTCATACTGAATATCAGATGCTGTAACTCTGAACCAATAAACCTCCTGTGGAAGTGTCTTTTCTACCTGCATTATCAATATAAATATTAGCAAAATGCTGGTGTGTGTATGTTAGTTCTAGAATCACATAAAAAAGAAGTATCTTATTGTTATTAGGAGAAGACGAGGAAGGTTGTGCAACAACAACACACAACTATCGTATAATAGCAATCTACCTTTTTGTCTTGATGTGGGATGTTATTGCTAAAATTCTTTCTGCAGGTGGATTCCAAGCAACCGTAACTCTATTCTGATGTTCAGTTAAAACACTTTGATGTTTCCTTTCCCTGTTATTAACGACTATAATGTGCAGTAGTCTGAAAGAATTTAACATATACGCTATTAAGTGATCAAAGAAGTGGATGTTAATTAAGATACCATTCAGTCAAGGCAGCTGCTTTTTCGCCTTCAGGCGATTCAATTATCACAGTTGACATGGACGAGTCAAGTTGAAAGCCTATGATTTGAGAAAGGTAAAAGGTATTATTGAGTGGTTGATAATGAATGGAAAAAGGTGAGGTTAGACATTTATTTATTAGCCTGTTTTGTGGGCTACCTTTGCAAGTAATAGGGCGAAGAACTATGATGCCAATCACTTTGAAACTTTCACTATCAGAAACAAGAGTTTTGAATTATTTTCCAGATAAGTCATTCCAGGTACACAGTTTTACTGGTGAATTAGTGCTGAGAGTAGGTACATAAGGTGAGAATGGAATGATTGTAGTTATGGTAATACCGTACTCACAATGAATGTATGTAAGGCATATATGTATGTACCTATGATCTATAACCATCAAGTCGTGTACAGAAGATTCTTTGTTCAGGGTTGTCACAATCTTCCTTGGTTCATCTGCAACATACAGCACAATAACAAGGATATCTACAAAAGAAGAGCATTTATGAGTAAATTGCAGCAAATGAACTGGATATGTTCACTTAGAAACATATAATATTTAGTATGGAAATCTTTTTTACCATGTTGAACATCATCAGTAGAAACTCTGGGCTCGGAAGCAAGAGATTGATATCTAGGAAACACTTGTTCTCCTTCAGAATCTAAAGACAAGATGAGAGTTCTGCTTCCTATTGTCATCTGAAATGGCAGACGATTCTTTAGCTCTATGCTGTGCATCTAGTGGCCTTATTAAAGCATTAACAATGTCATAGTTGCCTTTAAACAGAATCACATCCTTATATGCATCAATCTGATCACCAAATAATATCATCTTCATGCGATTTTTTTGCAAAAAGAACAAAAGAATAAGCTAATGTATAGTTATCTATTATGATATGCTATAACCTTGTAAATGGTATGCATAGATTATACCTTATCATCTTGTAAGATGATATACCGGTACAATATTTTATTCTCAGGCTATTGCTTTATACCCTTTTCTGCAATGTGTACCTTAACCTTGTACGATTTACTTGATGTATCAAATTCTCTTATGAACGCTCTAACGGCTTTGTCTGTAAGCACAGAAAAAACCCCTTAGGATCTCGTTAGCTTGCTTACTAGCGAGAAATCCGATAAATCAATCATTTTCACTAGTGATGATTTGCCTTCAAAAGACACTACCCACAACAATGCATTATACCTAACTGTGGGGTGCAAGGGATACAATATCCCTCTAACTTTGGTAGACAATGGGTTATCTATAAACGTATGCCCATTGAGAACTGCACAATACTTAGTCCTTAATCTAGAAAAAGATTTTCAATCAACAACACAAAGCATTAGGGCTTATGTCAACTCGAGAAGATCGGTGTGTGGAACTGCTAAGATACCAATTACCACAGGCCCAATTCAAAAGATGGTTAAATTCCATGTTATGGACATTAAACCTACATTCAACCTTCTACTTGGACGTCCTTGGATACATGAGCTTGGTGCAATACCATCCTCACTTCATTAAATGATTAGGTTGAACTATCTAGAGCTTCCTATGACTATACATGCTTCTCCACTCAAAATAGCTATAAATGACAAGTCACTTTTGGAATTGAACCATGATAATGATGAAGATGACATGTGGGGATTTGCCGCGAAGCAAATCTACACAATTGAAATGGAAGAAAGCCTTGAAGAACCATTCAAGCTTGATCCATAATCCACCTAGATAGTAAACATCATATAATTCAAGAGTAGTTACTTTCCCGGGATGCCTTTGGGAATAGGAATGAAGAAATCTCTCTTACTTCCTATCCCTAAGAAAAGTTTCTCCATTGGATTGGGATATAAACCAACCAAAGAAGAACTAGAATCTCATAATGCGAAAAACAAAGCACGTAGAGACAACAATAAGAAAGGGATAATCACTTTACTCCCATCCTACCAACAAACCCTTAATGAACAATTCATTGGGGAGGGAGAAGATTACCCATGCTATGACTTTCCAGAGCCATTAGTTCTGGAAGGAATCAAGAAGCCTGGATTTGAAATATTTCATGATTGTTACTTCTTGAATGACGATCTTAAAATCGTTAAATAAAAGCACCCAACTCTAGGGTGCTATGATAGGCAAGCATTCAACTTGCTATTTGGACTAGAGCAAAATCATGTCGCTACAATGACTAATCAAAATGCCATTAAAGATGAAGCTTTTGACCCAACCTCGTTGATCACCCCTTCTAATGAAACCTTTGAGAATTAATGGAAGAAGTCTTTCAAATGAACCAATCACAAAGGCAATAAGCTAGAAATCATCACAGGTGAAGGAAAGATGCTTGAAGAATTGAACGATGAATCTAGTATACACTCTAGGGAAGCTAAAAATTTAGGCCTTGTGGCCATTACTGAATCTTTATTTTCTAGTTCCAAGGACGAAAATCCAAAAAAGGATTCTTCTCTTGATGTACTCTTTTTTTAATTTAATAATGTGAGCTCTATTTTCGAGTATATGCCTTCTCTCGAGTCTTTTGAATGTTATAACAATCAGTCTAATGAAGATGATAATATTAATAAATTGGTTGAACTAATGAATGAACGAGAACAAAAGAACCCTATAATTGAAGAAACCAAAACAGTCAAAATATGAACTAATGAAACCAAAAGAGAAGTTAAATTTGGCTTATCTCTAAATCTAGAAGAGCGATCGACCCTCATATGGACGCTCAAAGAATTCGAAGACGTGTTCGCTTAATCATACAAGGACATGCCTGGAATAGAAAGGGAAATTGCGAAATACACATGTAGACACCCATTTGTGTATCCCCAAAACCAAATCCAGTGATGAGTACCTTTCACGTCGAATCATAATCGAATGAAGTGAAAGTGTGGAAAGTTTAGTGTTGCGGATAGTTTTAATTTCTTTTCTCTTCTCTCTGTTTT